GGGAATAAATTTGCCAAGAAGGGATAACACCAACATATTATGTAAAATATTATCCGGTGCCTGAATTTGTGCGACTTTGTGAAAATCAGTCCAAATCTATATTTAATTTAATGTGAGAAAAGTACGGTGGCGACACCGTAGTTACAGCACAACTGTTACTGTTACGATCAATGTACTGCTGCACTAAATTGTTTTATATATTGTATTAGAGGATCCCATGTGTTTTGCTGGTCTTAGAGCCCACTTGTTGCTGCAGTTGATGCCAGTAGGGGATTAATATGTTCTGGTAATATGTGTGGGTACCCTGCTCCTTGCCAGCAGCCCCTCTGCGACCCCACACTTGTCTCCCCAACACAGCCACGTCCCTGTTTTCAAAAGAGAAACACTGAACACCACTGGAGCCTTTTCTCCCACAGATCCTGCAAAATGCAGCGTCATGGTTCCGGGAGCGAACACCCAGCGCTGTAACCTCCGCTGCACAGAGCACAGGAACAGTAATATATTAACAAGAGATCGCAGCCTGACAAATGCTTTTAAGATGGTGTAAGCCAGCGCTGCCATAAACCCAGCCCTGTGCTCCCTGCCCCGGCTGCTCCTTCCCTCCCGCCTCAGCCTCTCCCCGCCGAGCACGTGGCCTGTGGGGCTGAAGGCACAACCAGGCTGGGGAATGGATCCAGCTGAAAATAAGCTTTTTTCCTCCCCCCCCCCTCGCCCCCGCAGCAGGATTAGTGTTCAGCTGGATCCGTTCCCTGATCCACTTCACCTTGCAGCTGCACAAATGCTGGTGCTGGCAGCGGGAGGAACAGGGAGGGCTGGGAGCGCGTGGCCGGGGCCCAGAGGAGCCAACTGCTCCTGGAGGCACTTGCGGCAGCAGCTGAGCACAAGCGGCTATTTTTTTAACAGACCTGGTTTTCTTTCAAAATTAGGAAGAACTGAGAGAGTTTCTGCCCAGACTGCAAGTAACCTACACCTTTCCAACCGGGAGCTCAAAGTCCAGCATGACCCTGCGGCAGGACATCGCCCAGGATGTGCAAGTCCTGCTCCCGGAGGCAGAGGGAGGGCAGGGCAGGACCAGGGAAGAAGATTTGGGGTCTCGGGGCCCTTACAGAGCACATATGACCACCCACATCAGCGTGGGATCAGAGCCTGGGGGATCCAGCACCTCAAACACCAAGGCAGCATCAGTGTAAGGTAACAAATGAGGGTCATCTCCCGCAAGAAACCCACTTGAGATACTTCCATGAAATGCTGAGAAGTATTATTCCTGGCAACATCCACGCTTGAAGCCTGCCTCCATGGTTTCTTTTTCACGATGACGAGATTCGCTGTGCTTTTAAACCAGGAAAAAAAAAAAGACATGGATCCATGGTGCTTTCTTGGGGTTCCCACTGAGCCTGTGGCATGACTGAGTACTTTCCACTTACATTAAGTTATGGTTAGGGCATGAAACTCCAGGTCTCTGTTGAAAACCTTTTAAATGTGCAAAAAACAGTGTTACAGTAATTAAATTCTAAAACCTACCCTAAAATTGTGGGGAAGCTGCTGACCTAAGATCACACACTGCCTTTAGTAGCAGTTTATTTCTACCAGTACAATCCTTCACACTGGATGACATCCTTACAGTAAATAATAGAAGAAGTGATGTGAGCCACCCTCTTAATGAACTTACTTATACAGGATTGATACCAAATGTTGGAATTTTGGCTTCCCAGTAGCAGTAATTGTGCTCGATGGTGCTTATATACCCACGTCTGTCTGGTGTGAGATCAAAACAATAAGAAAAACAACCCATCTCCTAAATGCTCTGGTCCAGAACAGTTTACCTAAAATGTTTTGGACCAAGCCATCCCTGGTTTGCATCAATGACAGGAGCAGAATGAAGGATGTACTTCATTTAATGCATTTTAGAGTTAGACTACAGTACTAATATTAAATGCATTTTAAAGTTAAACTGGAGTACTAGTAGTAAAACCAGAGTACACAGGAAAATAAAACAATCCATTTCTCCAGGCTCCAAATTTACACTCACAAAAACCTTTAAGGAAAATTCTGTACTGTACTCATATTGCACTTTTATTACAGACAGGTAAACCAAACTCTACACTTATGCTTCTAGAACAGAACTGGTAGAAAACAAATGTTTGCTGCCATCCACCTGTAAAAAAAACATGAGCACCTTCTCATATACAGATTATTATTTTAATGATTATCCATGATAAACTAGCCAACACATCCGTTCAAAACCAGTTACATTTTAAAAACTGGTAAAAAATAAATGGGGTATTGATGTTGGTGCTGGGCACTTGGTGTTACTGACATCCAAATTTCATTTCTAATGATCAGACGTGGCTCAGGAAGATCTGGGCAGGATTTGTGTCTGCCTATTCCTGCATAGCACCGGGTAACTAAGTTGCACAAACACTTGGAGCAGTAAAATAACTGGTCTATTCTAGTCAACAGATACTCGCTCTAAATCTGCAGAGAGAGAAGCTGGCGCTGAAATTTATGCACTGAGAGTCATCCAGCTGAAGTCACTCTGACTCCCTGCACTACATAAGAGCGACGCAGGAGCATCGTCTTTGCAGGATCAAGGCCCACATTTGCATCTGCAAATCAACCTCTTTATGAAAAGTGGGCTGTAAATTTTAGTTAGTTAGTTAGCTAGTTAGTTCCTTGCAAGGTCTTGAGCCGTACCAGTGCAGCAGGAGGTGCTGCTCTCGGGCTGACGTGTCGGTGAAGTGTAGAGGGGAAGTGTGATTGTGCTCCCGGTTGATGGAGCGCCTCGTGTGACGGGCGTTCAGCTGCTTGGAGCCAGCATGTGGGTCAGGGAACAATGTCTGAACATCACCGTCTCCCTGCATCCACTGCTCAGGGAAAACAAGTTATTCACAGGGGAAGCATGTCATGCCTTACTAAAAATAATTACGAATTCATCAAATATAACGCGGGGCTACACACTTTCTGTTATATTTTAGTACATAGTTAAGCCGCAACACTGGATGAGCAGCATTATTCCAGCATGGGAGGTGAGGCCTGGCTGGCAGGGAAAAGGGGCATTATCTAAATCCTGCAACCCAAACACCCCATTCCCATATTGGAAGGACTCACAGGAAGTGCATTTTTTTTAGTTCATTTGATTTGATTTCACAAAAAATGATGTTAGGAGGGCTTGGTTCCTAATCGGTGCCAGAACTTGTCAGTACAGTTACGGATAGATTAGAATAAATAAAGGAGAGGGAGAAGAACAGATTGTTTTTTCTTTGCAGGTATCCCTCATCAACTAAGTTTTCAGAACTCTTTTTCTCCTAGCAGGGATTATCTGCACAACTACCCCCAATTACTCCATAAGAATGGGTGCCTCAATGTTTTAAAATAGAGTTAGAGAAGGAAATGTGGAACCTTCCTTTTTGGTAGCAGCCTGAAACAGCTGTCCAGAAATTGGGTAAAATACAGAAACAATCTGGGGGAAAGAGGCCAAAAGAGAGGTCTGGTCTGTGCCTGCACACAGCAAACCCATCCTCTTCCTTCAGCTATTACATCTTTCCCTTGCCCCAAAGCTTCTGCTCCCAAGCTGTGGGAAGCCAAAACACCCCACTCTCAGCACACACTGAATTTTACACAAACCAGAGATGCTGGAGGAGCCAAAGCTCCTTCAAGGTTGGGCAGCAGCTGAATGGAAGTTTTAAAAGCTGCAATTTGAAGTTAAACCCCCATGGTTTCAGGCCTCCCACCGAACCCACTGTGTATCTTCTTTCCGAGCATCTCATTACAAAGGCTATTTCACACTTGATGAATGTTCGATCGCAATCCAAATAGTTCGAAGAAAAATCCACATGCCTGAGGATTGCCCCCTGCTAAACTCAAAGATGTTTAGCTTCAGAGCTTTCTCCTTTAGAACCTGTAACCTAATTGCTCCAGTAATGAAATAATTATTTGCGTCTTTGACCCCGACGTATGTCAACTAACTTTGTTTATATCATGAACTCAAGGTTATTTATTAGAAGCAATTGCTGTGTTCCTGCCCTGCATCCCCATACATAGTGTACATAATATTTAACAAAGCAAATTGGGTAAAGCAAAGAGAAATGGGGGCTGTGGTTTGAAAAACTCCCCACTGCAATGCCCTGGGCAAGGCCTTGGTCGGTCCACTGCGGCCCATGTTCCATTTGCGAAGGAGCTGCCCATAATATTTGGACAGTTAGCAGTGCTGGTACTGATGGAAATCCAAGAAATCCCAGTAATACAGAGATGGTGATTTTCACGTTGAGGTTTCCTGCAGGCAAGGCAGAGTTTTCCCTTTGGAGGGACTTTTGCCAAAGGGAAATGTGCAGAATTAGATGTGTCTTCCGGCTGAACGCTGCTGAATTTTGCTAAAATCTGCTTGGAGGTGCCTGGTTGTACCCATGTCATGCAGAGCCTGGGTGTCACGGGGTGGCCACAGCTGTGGCCATCTCAGCTCAGGCACCACAGGGAATCCTGGTGAGCTGAGGCCACGAGAGGCTTCAGCTTCTGCAAGACAGCAGCAGCAGCCCCCAGCAGCAGGTGCTCAGAGGACAAATGATGGACATGGTGTAAACATCCAGCGAGGACCTACAACGTGCTTGTAAGACTCAAGATCTTTAGGCCCTCCACCGTGTAATTCCACCCACAAAAACTGAAGCTTGCTTATTAATTTTGATGGACAATTGAGCCGGTTCAAGGGTTTTATTTGAGTAGAAAAAGGAATGTGCTGTTTCCCAGGCTGATTGAGAAGCACGGGATATATATAACACAGGAGGCTCGATGATTATACAACAAAAAGATGGGATCACCACCTGCCCACATTCTTGTGATAAGCAGATGAAGAACGTCTGTCAAAACATTAATTCCCAAATCTATGGGGGTAACGCGGAACACAAACACAAATAGCTGCGATCGGAGCGCGCTCTCCTTATCTCGCACTCCGCCGAACGCCCCGCCGCGATTTTACGATGGTCACACCAAATCGGGCGCTCAGCGAGGACGGTCGCGGCAGCCCCTCCGCCTCGGGGATGTCACCAGCGCGGGCCCCGCATCCCCGGTGGCCTTTATTCCCCGGCCTGCCCGCATCCCTGCCAGCCGGGG